ATAACTTAAACTATTAATTTAATATAATTAAAGTGAAAATGTTATTATTAAAATTTTTATATATGTCGTCGCAAACGACGATGAAAATTTATTTTCACATTCTATAATCATCATGGTAGTTCGAGGAAAACTTTATACTAAATTCAAAAATTCGGTATTCCGGTAAAACTTGTGCTACAATAAAAAAAAAAAAAATAATGGTACGTATCGTGGACCAATAGAATTAAATTTCATCGATAACTGTTTTGCGATTGGCTCAATTGGTGTTTAGATTTAATACAATTCTTTTAATAAATCAAATACATATAAAATAATGTCGACAAAAAAAACATACATTGTAGGGCGAATCGCTATATTAAAAAAATATATTGTTAATATTATTGTTTTTTAAAAAAAACATTTGTGAAAATTAAATAAAATTTTGGAGGTCTGTAGCTAAGTAGTTTAAATATTTATGGGAAAACTAAGCAATTAGTCTAGAAATTATTAGGAAAATATTTAACAAAACGTCTCAATTATCTATAAAGAGTAAATGTACGATGTATGGTAAATCGTAATATAATAAACACAAAAATAAACCTTGGTAACACTTATGAGTTATAATAAAGAATAAAATTGTATTTACAAGAAATGTAACCGATACAGATACATAATTATATAATATGTATGTAATTAATTTAATTTATGTTTCTATTAGTGTAAATGATAATGTATTAATGTTATGATATTACACATAATAATATTTTTAGAATAAACCTTTTATAAATATTATAATTTTTAGTCATTATTCATTTTTGATATTATAACTTTTGTTGTTATTTGTTAATTTTGTATACAATAAATGTATATTTTACAGATTGAATGTAATCATATTACAATAAATAAAATTATTTAAAAAAGTATATTTCATACGAGTGCTGTCGTTTATGTTTTACAGCAAAGTTGTTTAATGTATACATATATTTATGTAACTAATTACGTAACTGTTATTTATGATTACCGTCCAAATTAACTGATTCTACAGTTTTACAATTTCAAAAAATAATAATCTTTTAAATAAAATACTTACCTAACCAAGTCAGTTAATCATGTATAGAATATATTGTTAATGAATTTCCTACGGTTTTAATAGTAATTAGATATTAGCATTCTATAATCAATGATATTAGTAATAATTTGTCCTATTAATAACATTTATTGATTTTAATATTTAAATAAAATAAATTAAAATTTTTGTAAGTTTTTAATTAAATGATCTATAAACTTTTTGAGATTATAATAACGTCAATCTGTAAAATTATAACACAAAATTCGAAACAGATTAAGTTACCTATTTGTATAGTTCATTATTACTTATAGTCATATACTCATATACTTTAGCAAGTAGATGCTTAGCGACATTTACATTTAACCAATGTTTCACTATTAAGATTAATTTATTACCTACCAAATGAAAAATATGATACATAGATATAAAAGATATCATTGAAAAAAAGATACGGAAATATGAAATATGCATTATACTGGTGAATAATTGTATATTTTTTGTACCTATGTGGTATTGTGGTTCAATGTGTATTTCGTACTGATCGATTAGACAAGACTGTCGGTAGTATATAAAACACTTTGGAGCGAACGGCTGTCGACCTACTCATGGAGTTGTTCGAGTTTTTCTCTCGTATTGTGATAAGGCGGGTGTGATAACGGCGAACACGAATCCGTTTGGTGTTTGGTGAATGGCGATTGTTTTCGTTTACAGGAATTCGGATTTTTCGTTGATATTTTGCTTACTCTAATTCCAACGTAATAATCTGAGCAGCCGACTCTCGTTGATTTGTGGATAGATACTGTCCGGTTTGTCCATCTCCATTACGAGTCAACCGACGTACTAGCAGCTCGAAATGGTAAGATTACTAGTTTGATAAAAATTTGTTTCATTTTCCCTGGTTGTAAAATAGTAATAATGAACACTCATAAATCGAAAAACTAATTAAAATTTTCTATTATTTTAAGTGTTCGGTGTTAGTGATTGGAGACATGCACGTGCCGTTCCGTAGTAGCGGACTACCGGCCCAATTCAAGAAGTTGTTAACTCCGGGTAAAATACAACATGTTTTATGTACAGGCAACTTGTGCACAAAAGAGATGTACGAGTTCTTAAAATCAATCGCCAATGATGTGCACATTGTGCGTGGCGATTTTGATGAGGTAATGTATTGAGAATGGTGTGCTTCGAAATTTTGACATTTCTGATTCATTTTAACATTCTTAGAATCTCAATTATCCAGACCAAAAGGTAGTCAATGTTGGACAGTTTAAAGTAGGCTTATGCCATGGCCATCAAGTGATACCATGGGGTGATCCAGAATCCTTGGCATTACTACAGAGACAACTAGACGTAGACGTACTGGTGTTCGGTCACACTCATAAGTTTGATGCGTTTGAACTTGGAAATAAATTTTTCTTAAATCCAGGATCAGCTACTGGAGCTTTTAATCCGTTAAACCCGTAAGATCTTTTAAATTAAATACATTAGTTTTTTGTAGTAATTTTAAATTAATATTTAATTATGCTTAGTGAGCACTTTGTTTTTATGTCAAATGAAGTATTAATGATGTTCTTATTATATAACTATATAATATAGTATTTCAAAAGTTTAGGTATTTTGTATTATTTCTAGCTCTTATTCATTAATAATAAATTGCAATAGTGTATTGTTGTCTAAAAAAATATAAAATTAAAAAGACTTAAATTATAGTTAAATTTAAAAAAAATATTATTTTTTATAACATTATTATTTTGAAAAATAAATTTAAATTTTTAAAAGTTAGTTATTACATAGTTTTAATTTATTATATATTATTTTAAAACATGCAAAAAGAATCATATCTATTTTAGCAGTTATGCTAGCACTCCCTATTCACTAAACCAATATTTTCCTTATTCAAATCAACAAAAGGCTATGTTAATTATTTATCTAACAAGTAACATAAAATATGTAGTAATTAATTATTTATATGCTTATAAAAATTGATAAAATTAATCTTATAGATATGTATCAATAGTCTTATATTAAAGTAAATACAGAGTCAATTTAAAATTAAAACTAATACATATAAATGTGTACTATTTTAAATAGGTTAAAAAAAGGGCTTAATATTTTTCAATATTTAAGTAATGTATGGTATTTAAATTGGTATAAAATATTATCAAACAATATTTATGAATGTTTCACAAAATTACAAATTTATATAATTATAGTGTTTTATTAAGGTATTGCTGCGTCGCCCTGGCAGAAAAAACCGTACTTACTATTGTTTTGTATTATAAGATATAATATAAAATCTACCTTGGGACATAGTAAAGCATAGTGTTAGACTGAAATCACTTAATAGTACTGCTGTCAAGCACTATCCATCATTAATAGCTCTTGGATAAATAACCATATCTAACCTAACTTGGATTTTTAGCAATAAATCCGCTTAAACAAAAATATATCTTCCAAAAACCTATAATATCCTACTTTATAATTAAAAATATACTAATCCCAAAGCTAATAACCCGAGTTTTTGAAATTTTTAAGCATAATAAAAATATTATTATTTTATACTAAATAGCCATTTATTGATTTCTAGATGGGTTTTTATTGTGTGGTAGTAGCCATTTTTTATTATCAATAATTTATCACACTAAAAACTATTGCTTAATGTTAGATATTCAGGATAATTATTTATTTCATTGAATAAAAACAAAAATTATTTTGAATTATTTTTAATGTATTTTTATTTTTTTCAGTGAAATTATTCCTTCCTTTGTGGTGATGGATATCCAAAGTTCAACAGTGGTATCATATGTATATAGGTTGGTTGATGATGAAGTAAAGATTGAAAAAATTCAGTACACAAAAAAATAAACTGTGATATTCTGTACCAATAATTTTCACATAATATTTTATTTTTATAATTGCTACAAATTGTTATCATCCATATTATTACTTTTGTTTGTACACTTATTTATTTATTGCAATTTTTATAAACTATATTATAATATAGCTTTAATTAAAACTTATATAATATAAATATATAATTATACTATAAATATCTTCTCATTATACAGAGTTATATTATATTTCCACCATTACACTATTTTAGTTCGTAAAATTGTGTGTATATAGTAGTAAAAACATAAATTGAATCTATAAGTTTTTTCTTCATTAAAAAATTGGCTTTAAACTTAAAGTCCCAGGGTTGCAGTTATGTTTAACCTTGCCCTTTAAGGTTATATTTTTTAAGTCAATAACCGTTTTTTTAGATTAGAACCAGTTGGAATACAGTAATTTGTTTATTTTTTAGTTGTACATTTTACGATAGCGCCTAATAAACACGTTTATGTTGAATTAAAATTATATCGAAAACATCAAGTGTACCTAAATGGGTTATGGGAGCAATGTTCATGACAATTGAAACAAAAAAAAATATATATATATATATATATATAAACAGTATATTATTTTATAAATGTATATGTATATATTGTTAATTAATAATTTCTATTATCGGTTATCTACTCGGAGGCAAAATTTTACTACATATATTATGTGGCTATCTTAAGAAAAAATGTTTGTCATCACTGATTTACAACAATCGCGTTGTCATCCGTCCGAAGCGCCGATTTAAATAAATGCGAATGGTGTCGAACGTTAGCAGTTGCAACGGGTGGGGAGATGGTGGAATCAGTGCACGTGATCTTACCTCCATGATCAAGGCGAAGAGAGTTACCTCCATACCTAAATACACTTAATCCCACGGCCCACGCACTCTTTTAAATAGTCAATACTAAAAATCATAATATTATGATAAAGACTGACGACTACAATATTAGAATTACGATGACCGTGCACTATATATGTCACACTTGACCCATATTGTAATAATACCTATTGTGTTGTCGAATAGAACTGAAAACGAGTCAACAGGACGCCAACTGCCACAAATCGAACGCAATATCTGTGCGGCGGACGATCGTGACGTCGCGCAAACGTCGTCCAAGTTCACCTTCGAAAACCCGGTCTAACCGGATAGATTTTATTTTTACTCGTTCATTTAATATAACAAAAGTTCGGGTTAGTATAGCATAATATATGTTTTTAGTGTTAGGTATTGAATTTTGGCAGCGGGACAAAAATTATCAGCTTGCGTCCAAGGCCTACCACAATCCATGAGTTCTAGCGCGATCGTGAGTTAGAGTGTCTCGGCGACTACGATGCAACTGGTTTTCTACTGTACGAGTATATAGTTTTCGAAGTGGATCGAATGCAATGCGATAGTGTAAAATGTCTATTGCGTACAATGGTTCACTGTGTTGAACAGTTCCGCCATCGAATTTTTCGTCTCCAGCGTTTCGCGTCATCCAACATCGCTTTTCCCGTCGTATTATCAATCGCTCTCGTCAATTTTCTTGGTAGAGATAATTCCGTTTCTCGCACATCGTTATACTCCGGAGTTTCCCGGAAGCCGGGGATAATGTCCGAACTTTAAGGAAGTGCGGACAATCGCAGTTGTTCGTAAAATTTAAATAGTGATCGCGGTGTCATTGTTATAACGCAACCGCAGCAGCAGCACCAACATGAACCGGAAGTCGGCGAAGTCTCTTTTGCTGGAGGAAAAAAAATATCTATTGGCGGTACAACGGGGAGACGTGGCCAACGTGCAAAGGTAAGTTTTCATGTGTCCATAACCATTAAAATATGACTTGCAAGGACCTCTTATCGACGATATTATAATATAATTTTCTCTTTCTCTCTCCCAATCACTGTATAAAAACTTAATTTGATATTTATATATTATGTTCAGTATTGGTTATGGAGACCTAAACTTCTATACCGTTTGAACAGTTTCTGACAGTATCGTGGGTGAATTTTTCAAAGGAAATATCCTTAATGCCTATTTAAGAAGAAAAAAATTTAGCCTTTCCGGTGCGGATTTATGACAGTTGATGAATAATCTATTTAAAAAATTGTATACGAATAGAAAGCCCCACTGACTCGTATAAGGTGATAGAACATAAATTCAAGGTAAACAGGGAGCCCACTGAGTCCCGTGACTCCCACCCCTTAAACCTCCCCTTAAATAGTTATATGGATATGACCGAATGAATCAATCCGTGGGCGTCGCATCGACAGAAGCGAAAATCATTATAATTATTAATTAATTCTTGATAATGAGATCTATAACAGTACAATGTAGCGCGATAAAATCATTATTTTCATCTACCTACAGCTTACCATATGGAAGTATGGCACCTAAACTATTGTACAATCGAACGTAATGTTTTATCGCGGAGAATCACACACGACATACGTAAGGATGATGATACCAATAATTTGTTAAGAGTTCGCCACACACCCACAAGTCACAACTCCATGTTTACAAACGTATACAAATCGTAAAACATTACAAAGTTGCATATAAAAAACCAATTTAGTGTTTCGTTATAGACTATAGCTTTAAATTTTAATAATATGTGAGCTTACCAATTATTATCAAACTTAAAAGTAAGAACATAATGTGTGTTTGTATGACGGTCTCTTAAACAATTTATGTCAAATAATACGATTATTTAAATACAGATATTAAATTCTAATTTTTAAGTTAATAATAAAATTAATAGACGATTTCACTAAAATACGTATTAAAACTAATAGCATAAAATAAAGGCTGGTTAAAACTTACTTTATTGTATGTAATTGTAGGATCAAAACAACACATTCGGGCAATCGGTATAAATGTCCTATCTTAATCTGAGCGACCGCTGGATAACGTTACAACATAAGATGAAAGAGATGCTTGTATCGAATGTAAATTATTAAATTGACCAAACTAATATAATATTATAATAAAGTAGGTACTCACTTATGGTATATTACTCGTTATAAAATAGAAATGTGACGGAGTTTACATAGATCAATAATTGCTTTAGCGGCTGAAATCATAAATTTTGTTGTTTGACAGCATATTATTTTCTCGAGAACTTCGGAATAGGGTGAAAAAATACAGTCTAGTTATTCATAATTTATAACATGTATTTTAAAATCCTCTTATATATTATTATTACTTGCAGTAAAAATGAATAATACTAAAAATTATCCACAAACCTCGCAGTTAAAATATATTTATGTGTACCCCCTTCCAAAAAAAAAAAGAAAAAGAAATAGTTTAGCGTTATAACGTATTATCGTAAATAATATAAATTTAAAATGAATATATATTACAAAAACACAATATTAACAAATAGCCAATAGGTAATATATTTTTCAATGGTATAATCATAGTATTATATACGAGTATGATAGCAGAATAAAACTCGAAACGAAACAATAGATATCACAATAATAAAAAGTATTATAGTACTACCCAACAATCAAATTAAATATCAATATAATATATTGTAACATTTTAAATTCTTAAAATGATATATATTTATCTTTAAGACTAAGTTTATTATTTATCTATATTAAATTAAAATTTACTATTTACTTTTGTACTAATTTCATAACGAATTATGTTTATCATGTTATATACCAACTATGTAACTTATACTTTAGTTGTAAAACTTGTTATTGTTATTCTGTATTCTGCTCCGTTTACCTTTTATGTGTAATCTTTTTTATGATGACAATAAAAAAATAAATAAATAAATAACTTCCTAAAGGAAACTATAAACTATAAAACTTAATTTAAGCTGAGATTTAAGCTAAGCAGTAAACCTATACTGTAAACATTTTTTAAATATTTAATATATTTTAAACTATAATGGATTTCGATACTGATGTTATAGAGATCAATAAAATCATATTTAAAAAGTCATTAAATATTTTTTTGAATAGACAGTTGCTTTTTCTTTGTTCTTTTTCTTTTATAGAAATTTAGAAAGTTAGGTGTTGAGTATTTACCTATGAGTCTAAGAGTACTTTTTGTTCATTGTTTTCGTAGATCTTCATACAATTGTTCGATGGTGTGGTGTAATTTGACGATATTTTAGCTAAGATTGATATATTTTTGTAACCTTTATTAATTTAAAATTTATTATTAATAATAATTATGAAAATAATTAACATGAAACGCAATATTTGTGATTTTTGTTTTTGAGATAAAAAAAAACACAACTACACCTAATGAATATCTACCTATTTATATAAGATTTTTTTCTATAGCACATGCAACCCGCATAAGAAAAGCATTGATTTTTGCATATATTTTTAATATTCTGTGTTGATACACTTTCGTGGACGTATTTCCTACTCATAAAATGTATTTGTGATAAATGTTGTGCATTATTCAAACAATAATAATATTAGGCAGTGAATACTGTATTGTACAATTGTCTATATACATTATTTTATTGACACCTATAGTTTATATGTTTATAAATTTACATTTTTAATACACACACATAAGGTAAATTATCATAAAATAAAATCATAGTCGGTACAATAATATTATGCTATTAGTTTATAACCTATTGTATTTTAATGAATTATTTATAATGTTAATGTGGCATTCATTTCAGTTTACATTAGATAGATATTTTTATATAAATTTACAATTTTAAATTGCGAAGATTTGTGTACATGTTAAACGGTTTCATATGAATAAGAAATTGTCGCGATAAAAATATGTCATTAAAATTGATAATATATTCGTACAAAATATTACAAAATACTACTTATATTTCATGTTACATTACACAATATTATAAAAGTTTTGAAAACATAAAAATCATTAGTCGTGAATCGTAATCGGTTGTATAATAATTAGAGCGCGAATTAGATATACTTTAAAATATATCTAAAAGTAAATGCTTATATTATATAATAGTTAATAGTGATATTGGGTACCGTAGTGAGGAATCAAAACAATTGTTTATATTTCGATTAACTATTATTTATCATACGTTCGACTTTGTGCAAATTAAGCTTGAGGTCGTTGTGTATATATTATCAAATGTATGATACATGTTGTCAGATAGATATAGGTACTCGCAGCAATAAATTAAAATATATTTAACACCACTTAACCACTGTAAATACAATCGCTCATATAAAAATCCTTTCGCCTATATAATTCATATATAAAGTTTGGAAGTTGTACGAATCAAGTTGATTGTACACACGCAACGTGTTCCTATTATACATATTAGCATAAACATTATATATTATTACTATATTTAATAATAAGCTTACTCACACAGATAATAATAAATAACTATATTCCTACTCAGTGTTTAAGATTAGTGACGTGTGCGCCCATCGACTCCGTCAGTTGTTTAATTGGATTATGCCTTTGGTCGTACCTAATAAAACCACGACCAATGATATCCGATTCCGACATTATGGGATAAATTAAAACTACTCACCAATGTCTAATGAGTCAAGGTTACGTGCACGCGCTATAAATTACGTTTAATTATATGTACAATAATAATAATTAATAACATTTAATAGATATGTAATAAATGCGCATAATATAGCAACATATTGCAGCCATCAACAATGTCTACGAACTGCTGTACCATCACAATATTATTTATACCACACTATGTGTACTATAGCACACATGATTGGTAACGGCTTAACCGATAAAATAATCATGTTTAAATGTTAGAAACCATTTTAGTAAAGTATTTAAAAAACAAAATTGGTTCAACCGTCTACAAAATATTATTTGCTAGATAGTAGCACGTGAATACGCAATTTTGAAATTCTAGAACTAGTTGCAAGTATTTAAACAATTAGTATTAGTACCAAGTAGCCCAAAAACATTAATACACTAATAATCAATGTTATATAGATTAATTTAAATTTGTCAATAAAAAAAACATCCTTTAGAAAAAAATATTAAACTAACAATTTTAACTTAAAAATAATGGCTTATGATAAGAAAATTACGAAGTTTAATTTGTGTTTGTATATGTTCAACATAGAAATATTCGAGTGTGTATTTGAGAATATGCCACTCCAGTCTCCAATAGTTTTCATCTTGCAAAATAATATGTTGTAAGGGAAACTATCGTTATACTTCACACTTAAAACATTTTAATGTCAATAATATATTAATTGCTTGGCATTTGAAATGGCCCAATTGCTTCTTATAGATTTCTCAACACATAAAATTCATATTTTCTAGTCTTAATAAAATGTAGACAATATACGACAAATGACAATGTATGTGACTAACATTTGTACATTGCAAGATGGGCATAATACAATTTCAGTGTGTGCGATAATCGAGTACCCAAATGAGTATCTCATATGTGACCAAAAATTCAGTATTAATAATATTAAATTACTATTAAAATGGACAGTTCATAATTATTATTAATGGTGGACTTAAAAAAAAAATTAGTTTTGATCTAATATAGATAGCTTTTATTTTGTTATGTACCTTATATATTTACTTTCTATTTGAAAATTCTATGCACGCCAATGCAATCCGATCTATAAATGGTTTATCATATACTTATAAAGATGATAAGTACACATGTAATAACATCTAGGGTCAGGCAAAAATCGTGTCTTTTGCTGTTAAAATGAATTTGCATTAGAAATGAAAATCATTGTTATTTTTCAAATTAAACACTTTCAAATTTCGTTGTGAATTGTTCAGTCATTTTTTTCGACTAAGTTTTTATATGTACCTATACGGTTTTAAAACAT